ATGGCAGCTAAGAGGAAACACTCAGCACATCCAAAGTAGAAGAAGCAAAACATTTGAATTGCACAGCCTGCGTAGGAGATACTTTTGTTCTTCAACAGTAGGTTGACTAGCATTTGGGGGATGGTATCTAAAGTGAAGCATATCTCAATGAAGGATAAGTTCCGTAGGAAGTAGTACATGGGTGCCTGAAGGCCTGAGTCTTTCATAACAGTAACTATGATAAGGATGTTTCCAGTCATTGTAATAAAATACATCACCAGGACTATTGGGAATAGAAGCAACTCAATATTTGGCATGGTGGAAAAGCCAACGAGGATGAATTCCATTTGAAATGTTTGATTTTTCCACTTCATTTCTTCATATGGTTCTACTGGAATATATACTTAGAAGAAAAAGATGAGCATTTAAAATCATCTTTTTAAACAAACAAACAAACAAAAATAGATTTACAATACATTTTCAACACACTCTGGCAAAGATTTCTTTATGTAAGAATATTTCAATCTTCAAATCTCTTTTTATTATACATCATTAACTTATTCCTTCAGTTTTGTTTTATAATGTTCTTTCTACACTTAATAATTTTATTTATCCAATGTTTGTTTCATCCTTAAAATTCCTCATTTTTTCAAATAATCCCAAATTAGTTTTGCAGTCTTAACATTAATATGACATTTACAATGAATTAAGAGTTCTAGGACTAGAGATTTCACTGGCAAAATTGAAAAAAAGAGAAAATTGGCAGAGATTAAAAGTCTATCATGAAAACACGACATCTTGAAATCTATTTCTGTGATGGGTGGGTGGGGGCAGATAGTGACTATAGTTAGTTTCTAAGCCCCGTTAAGTCAGCTAGGTGATTATATGCAGTTTGAACATTGCTATGGATCAGTACATTCTCTGTCTCTCTGTCTCTCCCTCTCTGTCTGTCTGTCTCTCTCACTCTCTTCGTCCAGATTTTTTTTTTAAATGACATGACTGTTTTCAAAGGAATCTGTTATTAATTTAAAAAATAGAACATTGAAATTTATTAGGTGAAAACTTCCAGAGATAATTTATATTGGTATAGATATAGATATTATATCTATACATTTTATAGATATAAAATGTGTTACTCATTTTTGGTGTAAAATAAATTTCAAGTTTAGTTTTGAGTATATGTGCTAAAAAATTCAATCCAATAACAATACTAAAATTTCAGAAGCCATATATTGATCAAGTCAAACTAACTGTGATAACTTGCATTTGTTAAATAACTGCCAATAAACACACTGAGTTTGATGCAGCTCAGTTTATAGTGCAACAAGAATGATAAAAGCAATCTCAATTTTGATTCAAAACAAAAAGATTATGGAAAATGTGAATATTTAAGTGCCATTTAAAAAATAAAAGGTCTCCTTAGATTAGGATGTTCATTAAAATAATCCT